TAAAAACGTTAAAGATCCCAAAATAGGATTGTATTTAAGAAACAATGACAAATGTGTATTGCAAACAATACTGGTCGTCTCACAAGAAACAAGTAAGCTTGAGAAAAGAATGTATTCAATTTCCAAGTGTTTTAGCACACTAATAATGTTTGATCCCTTTGGAAACACTGTTTCGAGCAAGCTCAAAAATTGTCAGAAAAAAACTGAAGCTTAAAGGGGTTGTGATGATAATTGTTTTTGCCAATGTCACTCAATAATATGTTTCATCTGTGAATAAATATTATTAACTTATGCAATTTGATAGGGTTGATTGATTAAAATTTAGTTCAAACTCATTGTATAATCAATATACTGTCCAAATGTTCAAATATTTGAATAATACAGTAAAAACTTTGTTAACACAGATGTTTTTGATGGTGACGACTATTCATCCATTCAATATTATCTTTCTGCTTACTTGCTTGAAAATACTGCTCAGCATGTTCAACTTCACTCTACTGACAGCTGTGTTTGGGGCAAAGAAGAGGATGAAGCTTCAAATGAAACCAAACATCTTTAAAATTCACAGAGCAAACTGCATGGAAATTATAATTATAAAGAAAGTATGAGTGAAACAAACTAATATTGATACTGGGCCTTCCAAATGGCTAATTGACTAATCTTAGTTGTAAGAACAAATATTTATATAAGCTACGGTTGAAAAGTACATTATGAATAAAAATTATATTCTCCATCCCTCCCTACATGCCACAGGCTTTGTTAGTAATTGGTTTCTTCTCAATTTAAGGACATAATGACATTGTAATTGCTTAGAGATGGAAGATGTAAAACTTACCAATCATTTGCTTGTGGTAGATATTTGTATTAGCGAAAATTGACTGATGTGTGGATGTCTATAACTACCAAAAAGTGAAAGGATCTATAGATGTCGCAGCTTTCTTCCAACCCTTGTCCATTCATTGTGCAAAAATGTAAAAGCATTTCTCAGTGTTTGGGAATCCATTTCATACGCTTTCTTGGCAACCGTTGACTACATATCTGAAGTACTGATGCTTTATTTCTGAAAAATTCAATAATGAATTATTGAATAAATTCCGTAATGTTCAAGTCAAATATTGTGAATGCTTGACAGTTAACAAAGGTCTCTAATCTACGTTTAGAACACTGGCCTCGAGAACAACTAATGTATGACAGCAATGTGTGAATATCAACAATATTAATTTTTTGAATAAATGTACATTCTTGGTAGATTAGTATATGTACTTATTGCATCAATGACAGGTATATTCAATCCTATATTACTTTTAGTGGGAATCTGGTACAGATTATGTGATCTCATTTCATAGTCATGCACATCATGTGTGATCAGAATTTCTGTATTACACTTTTGTCAGTTATTCAAAATTTTTAAAATTAATTTACAATGTTCTAATTCCAACTACTTGTTTAATAACATTCAATTCTGTATTCATATTATCCATGTTGGCATATTGGTCATAGTTGTACAAAACTGTTGATATTCTATTTTTTAGAACTTGTGTTTCCTGAAATTTTTGGTTTTACTGCACATTGGGTAACAGATATCTAAAATGTGCCAAAAATCATGCATTATAATTGTCTAGTCAACTTTTTATAGTTAGGTAGTCTTTACTTTGGTAAAAAGCAGCTACCATTGACTTATATTAAAAAAAAAATTGTGACTACACCAGTACACCAATTCTCATATACCTATAATTAACCCTACGTATTTGATGCTTGATATTAAAATATTTCTACTTCAACGTTATTCATTGTTATTAAGTTTTTTTACTATTTTATTCTTCTTTTTAAGAATTAGTTATTTTGTTTTATTGACACTGATCTTTGATTCATTCGAATAGAGCCATTTATTCTGCTCACTAGTTGTTTTATATAGAAGAACTACTTTTTCAGCAAATGGACCATTCAAGTATTATGTAAGCATTAAAGATTGATTTATAAAGTGTGGTAATTTTACTGATTTTATGTTCAGCCAGCAATGTTCCAGTTGCAACTCTATTGTTATTTAATTTTACTAATACTTTTACAATATAACATTTGATTTTGAGTATCTCTAACTGAAATACCAGCAGCAAGGGCTGGCGTTGAATCTATTTCTTATTCCAGTATGCTTCCATTTACTTCTTGTTCATAAGTGAGGTCTATCAAAACTGAGTTATGATTTGGTTTTCATTCTTTCTCAATAGAACTACCAAAAATAGAGTTAAATCTATTTAAATAATTTAATGTCTACCTTGTTATGTAGGATAATATAGCCAATCTTCAAACAATCATATATGGTTTTAGTAATAAGTGAGACAATAGTGACAAGTGGAAAAGACATCCACGGTTTCAAAAACTGTGTTAGAGTTAATGTTTCCTTACATTGATACAATAGTTGAATACTGACAACTAGAATTTGAGTTCAACAAATGCTAATTTGAGTAACATACAAAAGAACAAAAGATGAATTAATTCAATCTTATATTTCATACTTACATACTGCCACATATTGCAATTATATTCACTGTACACTATCGAATTACAAGTCATATACATGCTAACAGTAGTTACGCACAACACGGCCGCGGTGGTGATTTTTTATAAATCTCAAAGTTTTTGAGAATACAAAAAAACCTAAAAAATCGTAATCTATAAATTTGAACATAACCTCTCTTCAGAAATAACAACACAAATAACACGTCTGGCACAGCTAATAGATATACTTCATTGGCAGCATACTCAGTAATAATTTTCTCACATAGCAAATATCACAATTTTATACACATGCAGACCAATACAATCTACTCAATCAAACTTTCGTTCTTCACAATTTGGGTCTACAAACTAAGTGGCTTTTTGCAACCAACAATGCATATTTGGGAAGAAAAGAGCATGTCGTATCGTTCAGTCATTCCTCCATAGATGGACGCTTTGGATCGCGCTTACAACGAACCTAGTGAGCAAACGTGGAATGACTATTTGCACCCTGAAAACTATCTAGTCTACAAGATGACATCTTATAGGTTTTTTTGACGTTTTATAGGATTTTTACGTAATGTTCGTGCCGATCCAGTTTTCTCCAAAAGTTGCATCCAAAAATTGACGAGCTACTATGCTGAAGTGAGGTGAAGCCCCATCGTGCATACACCATATTGCTTCTCTTACTTCCAGCGGGACATTTTCTAGTAGTTCAAGTAAAATTAATTCCAAAAAATGTCGATTCTCCATTTAATCTCGGGGGTAAAAAAATGAGGTCCAATAAGATAATCACCTATAATACCAATGCAAACGTTCACGGAAAAATGTTGATAATCACCTTCTGTACCTCATAGGGATTTTCTTCAGCCCAGGTATGATTATTGTGAAAGTGTATAATTGAATTTCGGAAAAACACATCGGTAAATAAAGTACGGGATAGAAATCTTGGAAACGCCAAGTACAATAAACGACTCGTTCGGGAAAATAGGCTTGCACAAAGCTGTGTGTGGTAAGGATATGGTTGATATTCCCTTAAAATATACCATACTGTAAAGTAAAATATGTTTAATTGTTCTGCTATTTTGCGTGTACTTGTATCGGGGCTACGCTCAACTTCATGTAAAACTGCTTCCTCCATCTCCACAGTTATTACTGTGGCATGTCTCCCAATTACATTAGCCGCCTTTGAAAGGTGCCCGGATTCGGACAGCGCCTTTCATGTATTCTCACGAATGTTTGTCTGTTTGGTATAATGCGCCTAGCCACTCTAGAATTGCCTTGAGCCATTCCATAAACAAAATGAATATCGGCCATTTCTGCGTTTGTAAATTGAACCATTTTCCAATATTAGTTATTTTATAGCTTAAGACTCTTAAAAACACTTCAAATAATTACGATCATTATTTACGCACTGCTTTAAGTAAGTTATGTCAAAGTCAGATTTATTTGAGTAGCAATTGTTTTCGTTTCATGGCACTCATATTGTTTGTTACTTTTAAAACATTTCTGTTATAAAGTATTACGATATGCGATTATTTTATGTTATTTTGTTTTATCGAAATTAGTACGTGCGAAAAAATTCAAGAGATGACTTTCATCTAATGTTAATTGCTTGGTTAGTTTGGTTTGGTTTTAATGTTTTGTTTGTTATCAACGACGATGAAAAGACCTAGACCTTTCTATTTACACTAAAACGCGTTGAAAGGATAAATATTAGGGAATTACAATGTTGCCAGTTACTAGCTGATAGAATTCCTAACCTGGTAGTAAACAAACCTCAAACAAATATTTCATCGTGTAAACCAGCTATTTGGACTCATGAAAATAATAAAATTGTTAACATTCTTGAAAATCTGCATAAGCAATAGTGAAAAGTAGAAAACAGAACTATTTTCGTATTGAATTTACCGTTAGCGAATTGGAAAGAGATTTCCTTCAGTCACAGAGCTTCAGTCGACATTGGCAACGTCGCATTTTTCTTATGAATGGACATTTTACGATAGTATAAAGTGCGTATTTTATGCTTGAGTTGTGGATTTTCACAAATCATTATTTTTGTGCTATTTGCCATAAGTTTGTTAGTGATATTGAACTGTTACCTGTTGAACAATGGTGCGATCGTGTTATGTGTGCAAGATAAACAGCAGTAATCCAGAATCGGCCAATTTATCATTCCATCGGTAAGTAAGGTTATGTTTTCATATCATAGGCGTGGCAATACAAATTTTACTGAAAAAATTATCATAAAACAGTCTTTTACCATCATTTTAGTAACTTTTTGTAGCTTCCTGACGAGTTTATATGAATATATATCCATCACTAGCAGTATGATACAATTTAAAGATGTTCTGGGTGTAGTTCATCAAGTACAAAAATATCCACATACACAATCTTCATGCAACTTAAGTAAACGTGATTTTGCCATGATTTGATTATATTTTTGTGCTAACTAGTTTATAATCATTAGACAGATCATTGGTGTAAGACATGTGTTTACAATTTTAGACTCCCATCTGACCCAGCAAAGCGCATTTTATGGATTTCACTGCTTGGCATTGACTGGGAGAAAACGTTGCCGAAAGTGGCACTGATATGCAGCAAACATTTTCATGATAGGGACTTTGAATATGATTCTGCTGGAAGAAGGCTTTTGAAGGATGGTGCTGAACCAGTAGATGTTCGCTCCATACATGATGAGCAGGAGTATGCAAGGTAAATATGTTTGTTACTTTTTTGAGTTTTTTTGACATGCTATTAATAGCATACAGATTCATTTGCCCTATATATTCATATTGATTAATATTTACTCAGCATTTCTATTATCTAAAGTTTGAAGAATTAAAAATGTGTCAAGATTATGCTTGTACTTTACTCTAGACTCTAGCCCTGTAAATATTTACTTTGTTATTGTATCCATAAGTATCTTAAACAAACATTATTATTCCAGCTCTGATTCAACAGTGACACTTACTCCAGCAAAGGAATCAAGCTCAGAAGCCCATAGCAGTCAAGGGAGCCCTGTCAGAAAGCGGTGAGTAGAGTTCTATACGGACTTGAACTATTCTCATATAATAAGCTTATACTACATATTATTATCAAAATAAACAGATTGGCACAGTAAAATAAGTCAGTGCCTGTGTGCTTCAAGTGTGCTTTAATAAATGCAATTCATACATTCAAGTACATTACCAAACAATTATTGTCAAAACTTATCTAAATAGTATCATGTGTATGTCAAAGGATTTTGGTTGTTTACATGTGTTATGTCCAGTATTTTATGTATACCTTTTATTTTAGATTGATAATGGAAGAGTTAGCTATACCAGGGCCTTCCCATGTGGTGTGAGTATTCTCTTAATCTAAACCATTTCATTTACTCATGTAGAAAATATTTTAGCTCAAGTCATATTCCTTTTCCTGATGAAGCTTCTAAGATGGTAGAGCCTCCAGAAATTTTGCAGTCATTCACATCATCCAGTACTGCAACTGCTTCTGAACAGGAGTATCAATTGGCAATTAGAGGCAATGTCACCAAACGAAATGTCAGAACACCACGTAAAAGAAGGTATTTGAGGGAGACAAGAACTTGTTTCTTACTAGCTATTTTGTATCAAGATGAAATGATATATAATATTATTTAATGAATAAAGTATATAGTTGACACATTTATCCTTTTCAGGCTAAAACGTTATGTTGGAGATTTATCAAGTGATGACTTTTCCACTCCCAGAAAATCAAAGTCAAATTATCGGTTGATGAAAAGTTCCCTAATGACATTGAGGAAAAAAGTAAAAAGTCTCCAAACAAGTGTTGCTGCTTTGAGGAGAAGAATAAAAACTCTATGTGGCTTATTGAAACTTTTGAAGCAGAAGAATCACATAACAGATTCAGCTGAAACTGTATTGAAGGTAAGCAGATTGATGAAGACTGTGTGTCCCAGATACCCGAATTCATTTGAATGGAGCAATTGATCAACTTTTTTTTTCAATATAATAATTTTCATTACAACACACACACAACACTCAACATACCATAACTGGTCAGAAGACCAGTTGTAATCTTGCTCATTGAAAGTAAGCATTATCATCTTATCACTTTTGCGCATATAGCTCCATGATTTTTTTCTTTTAATTATAGCATTTGATATTCTTTTTTTATTCGTATTTTGTTTATTTTGACTAATACTTGTTACAACAAGTATACATATCGTCATCTAACCACAGCAGGTCATGAGACTGGTTATGGTAGAAATAGAATTGAGTATGGGTATGTTCAGTGTTAATATCCTAGTTTCCTGATGTTATTTATCTTGCATAAATGTAATTAATACTACTTTTAAAATACTCATTCTGTTCAGATTACATGATTTAATTGCATTCTAAATACTAGGCATCTCTTTCTGGTATGCCTTTGGAAATCTTTGAAAGAATGTTGAGGGGGCGTACTAGCCAGAAATATAACCCTGCCTTGCGGTCATTTGCCCTCACGCTGAGCTTTTATTCCCCAAGAGCATACAATTTTGTGAGGAAGACATTTAACCTTGCTCTACCCCATCTGTCAACAATAAGCAAATGGTATAAGTCGATTGATGGTTCACCAGGCTTCACTGAGGAATCCATTGTGGCCTTGAAATTAAAACAAGGAGAAGCTTCAACCAAAAACTCTACTGTTATGTGTAATTTAGTCCTAGATGAGATGTCTATTCGGAAACAAGTTGAATGGACAGGGAGTAAGTTCACGGGGTATGTTGATATTGGGGCTAACATAGAATCAGACGTTCTACCAGAAGCAAAGGAGGTGTTGGTTTTTATGTTAGTATGCTTGAATGGAGCATGGAAAATTCCGGTGGGTTACTTTCTGTTGGATGGCTTGACTGGTTATGAAAAGGCAGAACTCGTGAAAAAATGCCTAACCTTCATCCACACTTCTGGAGTTACTGTAGCATCATTAACATTCGATGGTGCTCCAGTAAATTTCACAATGGCTTCTTGTCTAGGGACAAATCTGAACGATGTAACAAACTTGAAGACTTATTTTCTCCATCCTATAACGGGTCAAAAATGTATACATATTCCTAGACCCAAGCCACATGATAAAATTAGTCAGAAATGCTTTTGGTTCCATCAAATACTTAGGTGATTCTGAAAACAATCAGATAAGTTGGGATTATTTGGTGAAGTTAGTTGATGTGCAAAATATCGAAGGTTTACATTTAGGCACAAAAATAAGAAATCGTCATCTACAGTGGACGAGAGAAAAAATGAGGGTCAACATAGCTACACAAACTTTAAGTAGAAGTGTTGCTGATGCTTTGACCTATTTATCCAAAGATTTAAAACTAGCGACGTTTGCTAATGTGGAAGGTACCGTAAAATTTGTTCAAACATTTAACGATATTTTTGATATTTTCAACTCTAGAAACAGGTTTTCAAAGTACTTATTTAAGCGCCCACTTTCTCCAGCTACTGCAGATACATTTTTCAAATTCATGGACGAGGCAGTTCAATATATCCATGGATTGCGACTAGGTACTCTCCCAATAATACATTCTCCAAAAAAAACTGGTTTTTTAGGATTTTTGATTTGCATTCAGAGCTTGAAACAGTTTTATAACTTGTGTATTGTAGAAAAGAAAGTTTTAAAATATATTTTGACAAATAAATTATCACAGGATCATTTAGAGCTTTTTTTTGGAGCTATTCGTAGTAAGGGAGGGTACAACAATAATCCCAGTGCAAGGCAGTTTGAAGCTGCATACAAACGATTGCTGGTGCATACAGAGATATCTGGCCCAGACACAGGAAATGTTGATAACCCAGAGCGTTTGACTATCTTATCTTGTGGCAGTGGATATCATATAACCAGGGCGGACGATGGTGAAGATCTTTTAAATAGCCCAGAATTACTTCAGTTTGAAGAAAAAATAAAAAACGATCTTGCCCTTTACCAGTGCACACCTTTTGCATGGAATCTTACAATTTATACAGAAGATGTTGTTTCATACATTGCAGGGTTTGTGGTGAATTGTTTAAAAAAATGTGTTACTTGTATAAATTGTAAGAATTCTTTAGAGGGCGATATTGACATGCCATTGCAAAAAAGAAAAGTTTATGGAGAATTGACAAAAGCCTCAGGACCAGTTATTCAAATTTGCCGCCATGGTGAAAAATACTTTCGTTTCTTCCAAAAGACAACTAATATCTTTAACAAAAATATCAAACATCTCTCGGATATTCTAGTCAATAATACCATACAATCAATATCACCACATATTTTGGGGTATTTTGAACACCACCTTCTCGAAGATGACCCTATTGATGGGCACTGCATATTTCTGATAAAACTGATTTTGAAAAAGTATTTCTCACTCAGAATTCATCACGAAACTGTGAAAAAATCGGACAGTTTAAAAAAAACAGAATTAGAAGTGTATATACGAAGGCAGTATTATTCAGCCATCAGTAAGATTTTTTTCTTTGTTGTATCTCTCGTAATTTTTTGGATTCTATGATATGATTCTAAGGTTGAGAAGTATTTTTAAATTATGTACATTTTTGTAGACCTGTAGGTGGCAGAAGTTCAAGCTTTGTTTTTCCCAAAATGCATAGCTAATTAGTAGATTTTTAATTTTCTGGCGACACTGATCATGTATGTATAGGTCGACTACATTTCAGCTGTTTCGCATGTAATTGAAATAATTCAAGATTCCGCAATTTCTACCAATACACAGTAAAATGGAAATATCCCGACTGCATGTATTGTTTTTTTTTTCGTATTTCATGTTATAAATTGATACATAAGCTATCTTATAAAATTAATTTGCTATACAAATTTCTCAACACGATTACTACAACACTTTAGGTAACACCCCAAGATTGAATGAATTATTTACAATTATGCTTAATGTGTTGATGTATATATTTTTGATTATATTATATGTAATTAGATTTTATATAAAGTTACCTTTATATATATATATATATATATATATATATATATATATGTATATAACTCGCATATTTTCCTTTAATTATGCTATAACTGAGACCTCGTAGATGAATGTCAGACGTTCATTCCATACTGTGATGCGTACGTCAGTATTTACTGATAGATTTCCTTCCGGATCGATGGAATGATTGAATTTCCACATAACCTTATGCAACAATAAAACATGGCATCAATACGCTAGGCTAGACGTTCAATGAATACGACCACATTCCTTGGAAAATACTAACGGATCAGAGTATGAAATGAACGTCTGACATTCGCTTTATAATACTGGCAAAGTAGTACTAATAAGATTTAGAGTGTTTGTTCTTATACTGTTCTTTACTATTATACAAGGAATGGCCTATGATGATTTTGTACCCATTGTTAAATTGGCGAGTGTGAAGTAGCTGCTTGAAGCAACTCTTGTAATTTATGATTTTGTAAAAATGTCAAAATAAAAAGTGTTCCCATTTCACTGTTTGATTTGTTTTAAAAAAATATCTTATTAAAATGGATGGCGATCAAAACTGTTCAATCCAACTCTAATTTTTAAGTAAATATTGGAAACACATTGGTCAAGTATACCGTCTCTAATCTAGAGGCACCTCTGTCAAAATCCATCAAACCGTTCAAGCTGCAGCCTTGGAAATATGAATTTCAAGGTTGATTATTTTATTAATATTCGCCATTTTGTTTCAATGAAATTTTAATATACCCAGTATCACTCATACTGCTAGGACGAATCCGAATACCAAAATCCAACAAGCATTTGAGCCCGTGAAACAGAATTTTTGGATATATACATACAAACCAAAAAACATGTGAAACATATTCCTCCTGAGGCAGTCGGGTTAATAAATGTATAAAGCTCATCAGTTTTCAGAGCCTCGTCTGTCGCTGGCGACACTATCATGATTGGTCTGAGTGCATGTGACGTCCGGTTTGATTCATAGTCCTAGTTTTGACCGTTTCTTGTTGTGTTTATGTACACTTATATTTAAT